TAAAATATTAATTTTGTTGTATTTCATAGGGACATTTATGTATTTGATGGAATATTTATTAATACTTTATTAATTACATTATTTATTCATTTATTTCATTATTTATTTATTGTTTTTTGAATGAAACAGCTCTCATAGAACATCTCCGCTGGCTTTCTCGTCTTCCTGCAGAAGTCGCAGCCGAGCCCCGGCGGTCAGTCGTCCTGCAGCAGTGAACGTTCTCCTTTGGGGAGCACCAACAACAACGACAGCGGTGTGGAAATGAACCTGAATGCAGCGGGCAGCTTGGACGACCTCACTGCATTAGAAGATGGAGTTGCAGGAGGAGGAGGAGGAGGAGGTGGAGGAGGCGAGCCTGGAACAATGGGAATGTCTGCACAAGCTCTGAAGAGGCTGGAGAACCTAAAGATCGACAAGCTGAAGCAAATTCGTAGGCCAACTCCTCCTGGCCGCTGTACCAGCAACAAGCTTCCGGCCATCCCTGGTAAATCCTGTGATGAGATCAAAACAATAAATGCACAAATTAGAGTCTTTCTGGCAAGTTGTCTTGTATAAAATGATACAGTATATGAAAATCTTCTTTGTGGAGTTATATTAAATAACTTAGTTTCTTTCTAGGTTCAGGAGAGAACATGGGCATGTGTGCGCCGTCTCCACTTCTCTCTAATCGTCGCGTTATGGAGTTGTCCAGCCACGAGCTCGGAGTCGGAACCGGCTCCTCGAACGACAGGAGAGGAAGCGGCACGAGCAGCTTGAGCTCTGCGTACACCGTGAGCCGCCGCTCCTCCATGGCGTCCCCTTACCCGTCCAGCCGACGGTCCAGCGAGGTCTCGCAAATGGGAGGGACAGCAGGGGGAGGGTGCCACCTCCTGAGCCCCGAACACACCGGGGGGGAACCCCTCTCACCCGAGAGCGACCGCAGAGGAGCTCCGTGTCCCGTCGGAGGGTTGCCAGGTCTCCCCAATTTAACGCCCGCTCAGCACTACAAACTAAAGGCCAAATACGCCGCAGCCACCGGCGGACCACCGCCCACTCCTTTGCCTAATATGGAGCAGTCAGGTGCACCAGTCAGAAGAGGGGGCATTTTAAGTGACTACCAAGGGCAACACCTGCCTCCTTTTCTGCAGCAAGGTGGTCCCCGAAGGCACAGTGCCAACACAGAATATGGTACTGGTGTTATCTACCCTCACCAGGCTCCGGGTAACAACTTCAGGCGAGCCAGTGATCCGGTGAGATCAGCCGCAGATTCACAAGCCCTCCCCAAACGCTTCAACAGCCTTAACAATGTAGCCATGATGGGCCGCAGGAACGCGCTGCAACACCACGGCTCTGACCTTAGCCTTGCTCGTCACATGTACTCTCCCCGTCCGCCTAGCATCACAGAGAACGTCATGATGGAAGCCATGGGTATGGAGCCCCACCTCGCCCCTGTTGAGACGAGTGACCGTTCCATGATGATTGCCCCTGGAGGGAGAAACTTCATGAACTACCAACAACCGAATCAGACCATTGGAGGTGGAGTTCCTCTCGCAAACCAGCTGTCCCCGAGACACAATTCTCTTGGTGGCCCTGATCATGGTTACATTCACCGGACCTACCAGGGAGGCGAGGTCATTTCCAGGGCTAATGGAAATCTGTTGGAGCAGGCAAGGCCTGAGGGTATGTCAAATACACTTCTCCAACAGGCCGAGTACAGCATGAGCACCTGTCAGCTCAGTCCTTCAGGCCCACATTATCCCAGCTTAGGTCAGAGCGGCAACTCTGGAGGACCTTGGAATGGTACCCACAACCAAATGCTGACGTCCAGCCACAATTTTCAAAACCAGCAATCGATGCAGTACTCAGATCCCAGTCTGCAGCCTCAGCAGACACGAGCCCACTTCAGCAACCAGACCGGTCTCTACAACAACACAAATGGAACTCAGAAGCTCGTTATCAAACCCGAGCAGCAGTTCCACTCCGGCATGGGCGGAGCAGGTTCCTGTCAAAGCGCTAAGCTCCACCAGCAACAAATGTTCCTGCAACAAACACAGGGGTACCCCCAACAGCTGGGCCAGGGAGCGATGAGGAGCTCCGGCCAACCCAGCTGCGACTTTCAACGGCCGAATCAAAACTGTTTCTCCGGTGGAGGAGGGGTGAGCTTGGGCTGTGCGCGCTCCACGCTGTCTGATGACCAGAGGTCCGAAACGCCAATGATGCAGGTGAAAGAGATGATGGTGAGGAATTACGTGCAGTCCCAGCAAGCCCTCATGTGGGAGCAGCAACAAGAGCAGCCTCAAAGTGGAATCAAACCAGCGCCTGTTTCCGACAATATGGATCTGAGTGTTCAGACAGCAATTATGCAACACAGTCCAGAGCACCAGAACCAGAACCTGTACTCCAGCCAGGCTTATTCCTCTTATCCTGACCAGAATCTGGTCATGAGCCCTGCTGCCCACAGTCAAGGCTCCATCCCAGATACAACGAAAGCCCAACATCTAGCAGGTCTCCAGGGTTCTTGCCATAATCAGGAAATGGTGGTACCCAGACCCCCTCAGGGACAGAAGCCCCTCAGTCGGCAGAACAGCCTGTCACAAGTCGGAGGAGGCTTTATCGGCAGCTCGCCCCACCTCAGCCCCGTCCACTTCACGTCTAGCCCGAGACGAGGGGTTCGACTTCCTCCGGTGCAGCATCCGCAGCACCCTCAAAATGAGATGTTCTCTCCGTCGAACAACAACAACATGTACTACACGGGTCAGATCAGTATGGAGAAACACATGGACCCCCAGAACGGGCCGTGCCTTAACCAGCAGAACAGTATCGGTTCAAGCCTGGATCCAGCCGGCGACGCAAAGTCGGCCCCCCTGGCTCCCTACCCCGAGTCTGTTCCTGTTTCAAACGCCTTAGAGAACCTGGACTTGGACAACGCTCGCATAGACTTCACATCCATCATTGATGACGCCAACTCCTCCTCATTCAGTCCGGTCAATAATCCCCTTCAGGAACATTTGGGATCCAGTTCCCAGGCCTCCTCCCGCCTCACCACCCCACAGACCTCGGTCAGCCTCGCTCCAGGCTCGGCTCTGTCCAACATGGCTGTGGGTGACATGACATCCATGCTTACCTCACTGGCTGGGGAGAATAAGTACCTGAACACTTTGTCTTAGAGGACTCTTGAGCAGCTAAGCATCTTTAGGAAAGATTTTCTGTCTTGGTCTCTTCAGTTTCAAAACGCACGTTTTGTTAATTAGAGTACTTTCTTTTATGTTGTAAAAATAAAAACATTTCATAAAATGCATCAACATCATTGTTACCTAAAGCCTTAAATTATGTCTTTATGTATAAAACTCAACCTGTCAAGATGCTGAACTGTAAAAAGGTTTATTGCTGAAGACTCATGGAAAAAGGAAAAAGTAATAGCGTGTACCAAGTTTTTAAGGAAAACTCATAGTGTCCTCACACATTTAAAATTATGCAATTTGCCATCAAAAAAGCCTTAAAACCAAAGGTGCCCATTTATCTCCCATTTCTGCATCTTTTTCCTGCTTCCCTGGTACGGTTTTCTCCATCTTTGTACTAATGTACCTGATTCAAAATGACGACGTTGAGCTTATTTTGAACAGATATTCAAGTCACAAAAGGGCTTTGGCAACAGTGAAGCGAAAACAAAAAAGGCTACGTGTAAATATACAAACTGTGTCTGACAATGAGACGTTGAGTAGTAATGTCTTGATAGTCCGCTTGATGCTCAGTGTTCAGGTTTTTGTGAATGAAATGAAAAAGCTATGCTTTCAGTGACTGAGAAATGTTTCTATTAAATTTCCTTCCTGTTGCTTTGATCTTCCCTTTTTTTTTCCAGTATCAGCACAATCTGCACAGACAGCATATCAGTATTTCAACATATGCACCAGTGTAAAGCAGTCAAGTCACACATTGTATTGAAGCACATGTGCCAACACACAGACACTCAGGACTTGTTTTGAATCTTTGGTGTTCACATGACATGTATGTTGTCATCGCCTTTTTTCCAGACAGAGAGTTTGCACTCCACATGGTTACTTTAAGTGTTTCTGAAAGCAGCTGTTTACTTAGTTTTTCTGTTGTGTTTGCCTCGTCTTTTTAAGGTACACAAAATGAGCAAAGCTCGATAATCATTGGTATAGCAGGCATTAACAGCTAAGTGCATTTGGCAACCTGAATAATGCATTCAAACATACATTTATAAGACATGGTGTTACCCTTTAATCCAGGGAAATTCATCCTAATTCAGTAGAGGGAGTGAAAATGCCTCAATTTGTTACTACATTGTAAAATGTGTATTATAGGTACAGAGAGGCACTTTGTGCAACAGTAAGCTGCAGCTTTTTTTTATTTTGAATCCAATTTTACACAGTGGCTTTGCACTGACGACAGCACTGGTTGTAAAGATCTCTGTCTCCTTCAACTACTCACATGAACCTCATTTTGATGACGAAAAAGAACTGGCTCTGTATTTTTAGACAAAAATTCAAAGTCACGTCTGAGCCTCATTAAAATCACATGAGTTTTCAGCAAATCACAGTATTGTCACTTTCAGTGTTTGCCAAGCGTCAGCACAAATGAACATGTCGTCGTTTTGGAACAAAACCAACCAAAGACGTAAAGTTACTGAGAAAAAAAAAAGATGCACAAATAGAGTATTATAACACTAACACTAGAAATAAGTAAACCAACATGAATTGTTAGTGCTGTATTTTAGAATGTATGAGATATTTTGTACAAAATCCTTTTTTATATATACTGTATATTAATGAACTTTATGGATGTTATCGTCTTTGTGTGTGAATGAGCGTTTGTGTGCGTTTTTGTAATTATCAGCCTTTTATTCTGACTTTTTTTTGCTGGCAAAAGCATATCACCTTTTAGCAACAAAAGCTATATTAGGAGCAATAACTATATTAGATAAAAGTGAAGTTTTTCATTTGTTTGTGTACAATGTTTTACATTTTTATACGTTATATTTTACCATTAAAACAAATAAACTTGCTGTTTGAGATGGTTGCAGAATGTATGTCATTATTTGCTTGGTCTGTTGTGAGCTGCTGTCAATAAAGGCAGCAAAATGGCAAAAACAATTTCATTGTTGCTCTCAGTGGATTAATGTAGTAACTCTTATTTTCCTATAGAGGGCAGTAGAGTCATGACAGATCATGCATGCAGTATTTTTTTTAGTTTTATTACCTTGGTCTTGATTCCATATTGAATTTTTCTTTCCTGCTCTACAAGACCATCACCTTTGTAAGATGCTAAACTTTGATAATTTAGCTTGATCCCACTTTAAAAGTTAGTGGCTGTTTGTCCAAAACAGGCAAACAGAAGGCAGTTTTCTGTAGTTTTATTTTAGTCCCATGAATTAATTGGAAAACCCCTTTTGTTATGAAGAAGAAGAAGACCTCACAGCAGCATGTTATGAGCTGCAGAGAGCTGCCAAAATGAAGTGGATGAGCTGTTTTTCATGACATCAGTGCCTGGACGGGCTCTCTGTGGTCAGTGGGGATTTGCACTGTGGGCTGCTGAATGCTGTAAGAAAGAAAAACTACACTAACCTGTCTTGTAAAAAAAAAAAGGGGTCAACCACAGTCTGCACTTTGAATGACCATATAAGAGAGCGATGAGGGGACATTAGGCTCAGAGGTTGGAATATAGACAAATATTCATAAACATCTATAAAAAACGATGCACGCATTTTCTTTTTATTATTTGAAATGATGTCGAATTTATTTATTCCTTTGTGGCCTAAACGTCATAGGCTAATACATCAAAACTTTATTACTGGAATGACTTTTTACCCTTTGAGAAATGTCTGTACTTAAAGTGAAAGTTTAGACCTTTTGAAGTGCGGTTCTGTGAAGGGTCATGCATGTATATTGTCTTACCTATTTTAAATATCAATTTAAGAAAGAAGAAGAAAAACTTTTTTGATAATTAACAAGCTAACAGCTAATCTGAGCAGGGCAGGTGGACAAAAGTGTTAAAACAACTTTTTATTATTTTTTTTTTTACGTTCGAGTTATTTTAAAATTACAATCTGCTTTAGTCAATTTGATCAGAATTAAATTAGATTTCTCCAAACATCCATTTAAGAACCCATCTATAACAGGTAGGACTGTTCATAACGTTTCCAGGGAACTCAGTTTCAAAAGAGCTGAACTGTCTCTTTGTTTTTGATCCTGTAATGCATCCATGCTCCATGAAAATACCTGCTGTGCAATGAATTTGAGCTGAAACATTAACTATTATAAACAGCATTTAAATAGAAATCTAATCAAAATTAATCTTAAACATGATTAAACGCAAAATGTTTAAATAAATTGTAGTCTAATTGGCAACAGATTGGACACTCTGTACTTTAGTTAACCAGTCTTAACACACTGAACCATCACCATCGACCTAAAGATACCTGTTTTGTATTTTAAAACACTTACACGTTTGAAATTTGTGTATATAGTCACTTCTTTATCATGTTCCCATATTTTTCTTGATAGCTAATGAGGACATTTCCTTGTTTGTCAAATGAGTCTTTAAAGTTGAATCACAGCGACGTAGCTGACTCTAAAACAACAAAAAAAACTTGTCATTACCTTTCCTTTCTACAGCGTTGGCTTGTTTTTTGGTTCAGGGGCCCCAGTGTGCTTAAACTAAACTGGCATTGTGGTGTTGTGGCATGGCACAAAACGACTCACAGCAGCCACCACAGCCTGGCAGTGATGTTAAAGCTGACTCATTTGCTCCGAGGCAGGGGGAAGTTTTCCTCAAGGACAACTGATTTGCAATCTGCCATATCCACATTTGTGATTTGAAACAATAGCTTCAGTTTCCACAAAGAAACGGGAGTTTAAAGGACAAGAAAATGCTGGCAAAACAGACAAAAAAAAAAGGTCTGACGTACTTTTTCTCCTACAGAGGTGTAAAATACACACATTTGAGAAAATAACAGCTGAATTTATCGCTGCTTGGCCACACGGCGTAAAATTTAAAGAATTCGATTTTTAATTCTATCGGTTTGAGTTTTTCAAATCATTAAAACTGATTTGCACATGTGAAAACACGCCACTTTATAAAATCCACAAACTAAATTAGATCCAAGTTCTGCTTTTTGAAGAAATGTAAAAAAAAAAATTTAACTCTCACGTGCTATTTCTGGTTTTGTTTCTTAGTGATTGCTGGTTGCAGAAATCAACATTTGTGTAACGTTTGATGCCTATAACGGTGGGGGGAAAAAAGGATCTGAAGCATGCTTTGAATCAGAACATACAAACAGTAGGCTCATGTAAAAAGACTCACGTTTCACTTGTACCAGAATTGTTTCCATCTTTGTACTTCAAAGATGGAAACCTTGCACATTTAAATTATAAATATGTACATAGACAAGTTCCTAAATGAAAGCTGAAATATTGTTGTGTCCCAAGTTGGAAAAAGTGCACACATGCATCATGGCTTCATGAAATGTGTGTATTTAAAAGACTTATTATTTTCATTATTATTTCAATATGTTCAGACCTGAAACTCCTCACAGGGGTTGACTTGTTCCACTGATCGGTTCATATAAACTGGAACCATGTATGACACAAAAATATAAACAAACAAAATCCCAGTTTTACCTTTTTTTAAGAGAACATACAGTAATACATCAGGCTAAATCATTTGTCCATTAAAACATCCTTAACATTTTTTATAAGAATTGCAATCTGTCCTATCCTATCCTATCATATAATACATTTCAATTAAACTAATGCAGAGATGTAGAGTTGCCACATGTCTCCAATGCGATCCCCTCTTCTAGTGTAACAAATGGAAATGCCAAAATAAGAACAGAGTTTTTCAAATGCAAAGAAGTGGGCAACATAATGACTTCTTCTCTTTTCTCGACTGGTCATTCAGGGGGGGGGGGGAGGATTTTCTCTCCCTTTGTCGCTTCGGTTGGCATATAATTAACTCCTGCTTAATATGCCGTGTAAGGGCTCTTCTCCCCATGGAAGGAGCTTTGAACCCCCTAGACCACAAACCGGGACAAAACCTCAGTAGGGCTGCTTCCTCTGAGCCTCTCTCAAGAGAGAGTATGTCTTAAACAGACAGCAGACGAGTTAACAGAGCTGCTGCGCTCTTATAGTCCACAACTGTAAAAAAAGTCATGTTTGTTATAAACATATAGGCCTCGATCCAATAAACTGGTGGCTTCAGCAGTGAAGTTAATCAGTGTGCAGAAGGCTCTTATAGTACTTTAAAAGAAACTGAGAAACCATTGGCTTTGAGCAGCGAGGAACAAACTGACATTTGTCTATATGCAGGAGAAAAACAGAAAGCGTTAACTTTGCAGACGTTACATTTTTTTAAGGTAGTTTTGAAAAGCAGCTCCCAGGACCTTGGTTGCACCTCTGCACCTCTGTAACCTCCTTCTGTAGCCAACTTTATTGCCTCAGCCACCGCCTCTCCTCTGGCCACAAAGGAGCAGGGTGACCCCTCTGTCCCTCTGCTCCCTTCCCACCTTCAGGATGCTTTCTCTTCCAGAATCCATTAC